AGTTAATATCTTACAAAAAGACAGTTTCTACTATCAATGAAATATTGAAATTGTCGTATGGATAAATGTTGTTATCTAAATGGTTGTTCACAATAATACACTGATATAATTTACTGCCTGATATTGTAAAAAATATATAATTTTAGACGTTAGATAATAAATTTACAAATGAAAAAAATATTTGGTGTTCCATAAAAAGTCTTCAAAATCCGCCTCGTATTTTTTGTTGGTACAAATATTTATATTATATATAATTTACAATATCAGATCATGAGTTCTACATTATATAACAACACATATAAAATCCAGAATAATATTAAAACACACATAAAATGACGTATTCACATGGAGACATCGACACTATAAATATTTTACTATTTAAATATAAAATTCTAAAGTAAGCTACGCCTACTAAAAATCTATGAAATATCTATGGGCCTATCAAATATATAGATATATTGCTTAACGTGGTCCGATGGGATTATTATAATTAGGCGTGAACCTATATAAGGTATATAAGATCTACTACGACATCGTACATGGGAATTTCACAAATTAGGGACACACTGCATTACTTTTCTTTTTTCTTTCTGTATGGGCAGACATTTGGCCGCTATCAGGCCTGATGATAAACGATAATGCGATCTACGGTGGAGCATGTAAACTATTCATTTGGGCCTTGATGACACCCAGGTTCGGCCTTCGGGGAACACAGGATCCGGCAAAGAATTCCACTCCTTAACGGTTCGGTTTATAAAACTGGAAGCGAACCGCCAAGTGCGTGTTTTGTTTCAACTATATCTAAAGATTAACCCAAGAAGTTATATAGATAGTGTTTTTTTTCTTGATCATCCTCCATTTTATTGTTATATTCTGTGACTTTTACTCCCTAAAGTGAAATCCCATGTAACATATTCGTTTGACCTAAAACTTGGGCTAAGAATGACGCTAAAGTGTCATTCGGGCACAAGTGTGACAATACCCAAAGCAATCGGGGGAAAGAGAAAGGGAACAGCAGTAGAATTAGCTCCACACACTCCGTTTGTGAATTAATATTACACATTCATCAGTTTACATTCAACTTTCCTGTGATATTTCAAAATGGCCACTGACAGTTTCAGTTTCGCGCGCTGTCACTTTGTGTTAACAGTCATCTGTCATCTTTCATTTAGGCTGCGCCATCTTGAAATTCTGTTATTACTTTTTCTTCCTAAACGTTGAAGCTAAGCTTTATAAATACACGTGTTTTTCTATTAAATGCAATTTTTAATGTAATACTTTTTTATAGAAACGTCAAGTGGTACGATTCTTCTAATTCGCGATACCTTATTGTCGTTTCCCTGGATACTTTCGTCTACACGATCTCACGGTCATATGCGGCTTCATATGACCGTGACCTAATCCCACTATATTTATCCATTCGTTCGTAGAACCCAAGTAATTTGATTGATTGCAACAATGTTGCTCTTTTACCGAATACTTTTATTTTCGTACAAAATCTATTGTCCAATAAATGTCATCTTCCTCATTAACAATTATAAATACAGAGCCACGTTAGTTGAAGCTCAGTATCCAGCTCCTAAAACGTCTAAACTCTACTGCTGATGGCATGGTCTACAGGTCTAGAATGGGCCAGGATAGTCCAAGAGTGAGGCGAGATTGGTGTTTTTTTGGACCCTGGGGTTAAAAATATGTGTCTTAATATAAACGACCAGAAGCATTAAAAACTTCCACGTTGTTTGACTTTGATAGTTTGGGGTAATGAACCGACTGACGAACGTTTATTTAAAAAAAAATGTCAAACGTCACCTAAACAAAATATGTTATTTTGTTAACTTAGGTTTAATATTGATGCAGCCATAATTTTCAGTCGATTGACCCACCCAAACCAAAAATCTAATTACAATACTGAATTACAATTTAACATCAAGTAGAGAAGTTAAAAATACATCTAAATTACTTTATTCACTAATAATTCAATAATGCTAGTATAATATTATGTATAAACATACCTAGCACGCCATCTATGAAATTAATACGACACTAATAAAATAAGGCAAACAGGTCTTACGGAGGGATCAAATAATTATTATATTATTCCAAACATCAGGCACTCAAATTGAAACCATTTTCTTTAAAATAATATCGCTAAATGTGGCTTAGAGCATTTAGACTGGAGAGGACAAGTATAATTTGCTATCGTTACTGTACGGAATGGGTAACATGATTAAAGGCAAAGCTTTACAACTGTGTACTGTAGATTCGCAAGCGGCGTATTGTGCGCAAGTAATCGATTTTATGTGCGCATGAGTGTATAAATATTCGCTAGTAAATGGCAGTTACATTGGCAGTAAGTGTCGTCCCCAGATTGCATGCTCTATCTAAGCCGCTATTTCTAAGGGATAACAGAAACTCTATGCGGGTTCGCTAACAACCGTACACTACCTTCCTAAAAACTCCGAGGAACATACATTTGTTTTCTTCATAATATCTTTTTGGCAATCTATTATTTGGATGGACTCGTAATTTTGTTCTTTCTCTATTTCTCGAATGTCGTTATTTTGATTTCTCAAATGCTTCGAAAGTTTATATTTTATTTTGTCGCTCATTTTTTTAATATTAATTTCAGCTATTTTTTCTACAATACCTGATTCTTACACTGTAGTCAAATGGGTCTCTGAAATATCCTAAAAATCAATCAGTAATTTGGTCGGGAGGTATTCTACATTGATCGGTAATCATGATAAATTTAAACTCTACAAATGAATGGTAATCTAGTTAGACCCATCTTCCCACAGCATAAGAATCCCTAACACTAAATATTGATCTTCGCTCTTCGATTCTCCGATTCGTGTCGAAGCAAATGTCGCCCAGCTCCCACAATCTCAGCATCTATGTAAAAGCTACGCTAACCGATACGTACTAGCCCTGTTGTCAGCTGATGACTAAATCAATGACGTCACTCACTCTACTTCTAACTCTCACGTTATAAACAAACAATAGCCTTAATTAATTCGTTACGCCAAATTTTGCAGCGGTGGACCCAAATATTTTGTTGATATATCTTTCTTATGCAGATTATTAGTGAACTATGAAAGTGAATACAAATGTGTGATATACATACATGTAGGTACGATTTAGATAGAAAAGTTACGATATTTTATGATTTAAATTAATATACGAAGCATTATACATAAGCACTTAAAGTTGAATACATATTTTTTTACTTCGCATTATTTTATGTAGCTTGTGCAGCGCTCAATTTAGGTAAGTTTCAAATTACATACGTCTTGTCTTTGCGTCAAAGTAAGTTAACGAAATAACAATAAAATATTGTGAAAGGTAAACATACATTAGTTAACATCGGTTACGTGTAAAATGTTAAACAGTTTGGCTAGGAATAATAATAACAAATGTTACATTTGTTTATATAATATAAGAATAAGTTATTTCGTAATGGAATGGGTTACACTTAATGGAAGATTATATTATGAATTTGGGATTTAAATACTTTTTTTTACATTTAATTACGATCACTATTATGTCTGATTCATCGAATAAATGTACAGCGAATAATCATTCTTACTTCAAATGACTAGATTATTAAATATAATTATAATTATACGTATCACATAAATAACTTTTACTTAAACATAAAACATACAATAACTTATAAGATAGTTGTAATGTTTATATAATATGCAATGTTTACGAAAAATAATATACATAAACAACAGAAATTTATCTTATAAAATACGAATAAATTATTTTTTTATGATCTAAAATGACATTTAAGTATATACGTAGTTATAAAATGACATTTTATCTAAACTGAGTACAAATATTTATGTATAGGAGACACATGGGATCACATTAATACGTCATGGGTACCTATCCATTCGTTAGCTAATACTCATTAAGCCTCTAAAACCTACTTGAATAATACCATCGTTTATAATTAATATCAATACGATATTATTAAAATTATTTTTTTCTTTCTCATTATTTTTTTATTGAAACAAAAGTCGAAATATCTTCTCTGACGGGTGTTAAGTTTATCAACGGCATACATATTTAAATAACAGGTAATTATTATTATTATTCAGTAATTATTAATAAGTTATTAAATGGAAGTTTAATGTCGCTGCTTTTATTTCCTATCATTATATGAAACTGTTTTAAATAATAATAGGCGATAGTTTTATCATGAAAAAGGTAGTCGTAAATAAAGAACACCGCCATCTAGCGTCGCCACAAGGTCAACACCCGTCAAACGCTCAAAACATTAGACGTTTAATTTTCACTACGATTTATTTAAATTCAGTCCTCCAACAATTTATACTTGTTTACAAATTCATATAATTTCATTATTAAAAATTTTATTTACCGCCGATCCGTCATCTTCCCGTTTTAATTATTTTACCCGTTTTTCTTAATAGAGTAGCAAGACAAGTTTCATTTTTATTATTTCAGTAAAGTCAGAAGCTCTAAAAGTATTAGAAGACTGATACATTCCATATTTAGAATAATGAAACCAAATACATTGGTTTTATTATTCTACTATAAACATTAATTTACCTAACCCTCAACAGATGGCACTGTCACATTAGCTTAAGCGCCATCTCTTGAGGAATTTATAGAATTATGGTGATGGGTTTCTCGCTACAGGGGTGCTATGGGGGGTAGGTTAGACATGCACACATGTGGTGACTTAAACTGAATAAGAACTTTGTGTGAACATTAAACAAAATATCTAAGTTAATAACCACTTAAACATCTATCTAAAAACTTACTCATTACTTATAGGAAAATAAATAAATCGCGTACTAGAGCCGAATAAAAATAATTTTAAACTATTCATATCAAACAAATTTAATAAACTGCAGTTCACACAAGGTTCCAAAACAGTTTAGTTCACGTAGTAACTGTCACCAAGTTTAAGTGTAGGTGGCAGCACAGTCGAAAAACGGGAAGCAGGCGACGGACTCGGCGGCTGAGTGCTAGAGGACGTGGAGGTTCTCGCACGACTTGGACTTGGAGTCGCGAGCCCACACCCGACCCAGCAGACCACGGACCTGGAAAAAAGTAAACATATAGGTATAAAACATATATTAAATAAAACGCGTGGTACCTATGTTGATAAAAAATACTTATATCCTACTCTGGATTTCTATGCCTGTGCCACATTTCATTCAGATCCCTCCAGCCGTTTTGGCGTGATCGAGTAACAAACATCCAAACATCGTAACTTTCGCATTTATATATTTTTTTATGTAAAATATCGGCAAACGGGCAAATGGATTAGCTGATGGAAAGCAATCAGCAATCTCCTCAAAATCTCTAAGTTTGTTTCGGCATTTCTTCTCAGAGTAGTCAGATAGGAAATGCCGGCTTCATCTAGTTTTTCACATATAAATTGACGTGTAAAAGTGCCGTTTTATAGCCTATTTGCAAAAATAAATTCATTGTTTCATTGTTTCAATCGTGGACACCCGCAACGGAGGTGTTACGAGTGCGTTGCCGACCGTTTAGGGATTAGGAATTTGGAGATTTAGGGATTGAAGAGGGATTGGGGGAGGGGATGGATTGGGCCTCCGGTAACCTCGCACACACGGCGAAACAAAACGCTGTGGTTGTTTCACGCCGGTTTTCTGTGAGGCCGTGGTGTGCCGTGTTTCAATCCGGTCGAGCCGACCCATTCGTGCCGAAGCTTGGCTCTCCCACAATTACATTACTGCGTGTGTTAAATTTTTTTGTGATTCTGTGTCACCCTTGTTTTATATTTTTGTGTAGAGGGATTTCTTTGATAAAAAGAAAGTATTTTTATTACAACTTTCGTGAGACATTCTAAATAAATTATTATGTTTTCGGCTTACTCACGTAATAAATTGACGAGATACTCGACTAGTTTCAAGCCATGCTAGAGGCCCATATTCATGAGCAGGATTCCACGACACGCGACGCGTGGACTGTCGCGCTGCTACTCTAGCATGGTTTGAAACTAGTCGAGTATCTCGTCAAATTATTACTTTAGATTAATTTAGAATGTCTCATATTTTATGTGCAATTTTCAAGTCATTGTTTATACAACCGGTAAACAGTGTTGACGCTATAATTAGCGTCCTCAATAAACCGGCAGGTAGTGTTGTTACCGGTGGTTGGTGGGATATTTCCACACATCCTTATAAATACTAATATTACATTAAATAATACAACACTCTCGAAAAATGTTGCAAGGTCTGTGAAAATCGGTAAACAATTTAGTTTTAATAGGTTTTGGAAGGTTGCGACGGGCTTGTCCCAATAAAAAAAAAACAATTTAGTTTTAATAATCGGTTTGATAGCCAAATTAAATTATTGCAGTTTGTAATTGTTGTCTTCGACTAGACTTTATGGCGTTTTCTGATCATCCCTTGTTTTATATGGATGAATAATATGGAGGTAAGGAACTCAGACCCATAACAAGGAGTCGATCTAGATAACAGAGAGTATATGGTGGGGATTCTGCGTATGCACAAAATTAATCTTTTGTTAAATTTGGCAAAAACAATGGAAATGACACGGTTGGCGCGGTGGCTGAGTATCTGGCTGCCGCCCAACGAGTCGCGGGTCGATTTCCGCATGTATCAACTCTTTGTGTGATCTACAAATTGTTGTTCGGGGTGTAATGTGTATGTTTGTAAACGACACAGAAAAAAATCCAAGAATGGGACATCATTAAAAAAAAAATTGCCAAAAAACATGTCTAAATTTCGTTAGGTTAAATACTACCTTGACACTGGCAGAGAGCCTGGTGCGCTTGCGCGGCGTGCTGTTGGCCGAGGCGGAGGGCGGCGCGGCGGCCGGCGCAGGAGTTTCCGTCTCCAGTGGCGAGCGCGCACGCGCACGGTTCTTGCGGGAATTGCTGCGCTTCCTGAAACATGGCAGTGCAAACGAGAACTATAGATAGTCATAATTTAAGACAAGATAATAACAAATTGTTGTATTATGAGATAGGTTGTCAAACGAGAAGACTGATCAGTATCTCAGACCATCACATCCATGCCGGTTTTTAGGTAAGCCATCGATTCCACCCAGAGACACCCGTTTTACAAACCCGAATATACAAATATAGTGACAACCAATTTTAAGATCATCGACGCTTAAAATCGTTTTAGATCTGAAGAAACAACAAAACAAGTGACTTCTAAGGTTTCTACTATGAGGAACCATTACAGCTCGTAGTATACCCTACCTGACTCTCTCAGCATGCTGCTGCTTCAGCCGGATCTGCGTGAGCAGCCCCACCAGCAGCTCGTCCACGTTGTGGTTGATGCCCACCGATGTCTCTATGAACTTGCACTCGTACGACGTCGCCAAGTTCTTGCCCTCTGTCGTACACATACAGGATGTTAATAAATGGGAATGATACGTAGTAGTAGTAGTTTTTTGTTGGGATTAGTCAGCAAACTGGCTTATGGATTACCTGATGGTAAGCAATCGGAACCGCCAATGGATACACGTAATACTAAACGAGTTACGAGTGCGTAGCCATCTTTTTAGGGACAAGGGTTCCGGATGTTTAAGAAACAGGAAGTGGTGGGGCGAGGCGGAGGGATTCGGCCTCCAGTAACCTGTCTCACATAGCGAAAAACAACGCTGTTGTTGTTCCACGCCGGGTATTCTGAGAGGCCGTGGTATCACTCCGGTCGAGCCGACCCACTCGTGCTATCCTACACTTAAAGTATTGAAATTTTAACTGCACAGTTGGTGCGGTGACTGGACAACTAACTGCTGTGCAACGTGCGTGGGTTCGATTCACGCACGGAACACATCGTTGTGTGATCCTAAAAATTGTTATTAAGGATCTGGATGTAATGTTGGAATGTCACATGCATGTGGGTGAAATTCCATATTTGTATACCACGATACAAGAAAAACTCAAGTGTGGGGCAACGTTAAAAAAAACTGAGAACTGTCCAGTATAAATAGTTAATATTATGTTTGTTGTTAACTAGCGTATTTGTGTACCTCAGTTTTAGGGCCCAAGAAACAGACATATCTTTGGTTCTGTGTAGTAGGTTACAATACAATCAGTTAATAGATAGCAGGCTGCAAGTGCTCATTGTTGAGCAAAGGCTGCTTCTCACTGGGATAAGGTTTGAGCATTAACAACAACACCTCTTAAAGATGTCGTTATAATTTTTTTTAGAATAGGTTTCTTCACTATTTTTTTCTTCCAGATTTTTTAAGTCAATAAACGTAGAAAGGACATATTACATCTATCTAAGAACAATTAATATTGACTTGCCAGGTTTATGTATGAGAACCAGGCGCTTTAACTTCCAAGTCACCACTACACGCGAGAATATTCCAGAACTCAATAATTAGCTTTTGACTGTGATTTAAATTGGTATGCAGTCGCAGGCAGTGGCTCAAAGGGAAATTAAACAGTATGGCTGATTGATCAGGTTCAGGAGTTATTGCGTCATAGTGGAAGGTAGTGGAGGGAGGTTGAACGCATTAATATTATTGAGTCTTAATGACACTGTCTTCTTTACGAAATTAATTCATCTTAGTATTGTATCGTTTAAAATACTACAACTAAACAAACACTTTTATAGAAAACTAACGACTCGCCTCGGCTCAGCATGCGTACCTACTAGGCTGATACTAAATGTCTCCACTATTTAATGGATGTTATCTATACTAATATTATAAAGAGGTAAAATTAGTAAGTTTGTATGTAGGGGGTAAATCTTTGGAAACGCTGGTCGGACTGTCAAAATTCTTTAAATCTTAGCTACAACATTCCCGAGTGCTTTATGATATAAAACATCACCCTACGATCAAATGGAGCCGAGCAGCGGGTGAAACCGCGCGAGAGTAGCTAGTTATGCATATAGACCTTTCTCTTCAATCACTCTATCTATTAAATGACACAGAATCATAATTCGTTGCGTTCAAATATAACAATATACATAGGGACAGAGAAAGCGACTTTGTTTTATTTATCCCATGTAGTAATTTATTGTCCTTCAGTATCAGCTCCATCAATAAAGTTATTTGGATATTAGTAGAGAAGTGTAAATAATGTCTTTGGTCAATCAAAGCAAAGCGTACTCAAATTATTTCGTGACTTATAATCGTTTTCTGCGATCAATACAAAAGTCAACGACACCAAAGTTTAGGTAGGCACAGATACATCTAATAAGATTTCCCACCAAGATAAGTAAGACAATTGACAGTTTGATTAAAGAACTTCATAAAACTGAGGCCTATCAGGCCAATCTATAACTTTTGTGTTAGAAAATTGCTTCCTCGTTGATTGGCCTTTAAAACTGAATTGACAAATGAAGCAATTATGAGCGCCTGTCAAAATTATTAAGGCATTTAAAATTTTTATTCGTCCAAAGTTAATTTAGAGATATAATATAATTATAATGAAATAATGTTTATTTCATTGTATAATAGGAATGAATAAGTTGTTCAAGCTTAAAAAATGTGAAGTTTAACATTTATATTTCAAGCGCCTGTAAAATAACTGTTGGCAAAATGTGGCGAGTAGCCGTTAACAGCGGCATCTGTCGTTGCTAATTGGTATGTACACACAGAAGATCGCTGGAAATTTAATTAAAAACGTTGAATTTGTGATCACGAACGTAATTGGGGAGATCTGGCTTTAATCATGAGTTTTGTTTCGGTCATTCCACAAAAATGTAATATGGTTTGAACAGTTCCAAGAGGTTTGTAATTACCTCGTTAATGGGATCGCTCAGAGCGCCATGCTAGCGGTTATAATTAAATGAATTTACACACATACTTACGTTAAGTATCTATTTTATATTCATTTATATTTTGATATTTGAATTTTGAAAACGCTTTCACAAAACTTCAATGCAAAGTCTGCTAAACAGATCAATTTATTCACGATCTTAAGTACTTATCTACATTAGCTAAAGACTTGACAAGTCAGTACAGACGCTTATCATCCAACTCCAAACTCCGAAACATTTTCGACTTTTTGACAATGCATTGAAATTGAAAATCTTTTGATTAATTGATTCACAGCACCTCATAAAAATAAGATCATACCATCAGTAGGAACAGCTCTCGACCTGGCCAGGTCAGCCTTGTTCCCGACGAGGATCACCGCTCTCCGAGAGGTGTGGCCAGCTGCCCATAGGATCTGGAGTCTTCTCTCGGCTTCCATGAAGCTGCTTCTGTCAGCTGTCGAGTAGACCACGCAGTACCCGTGAGCACAGCCTTCCGTCTGGAAGAAGATGGAGAAAATGGATGTACTATGATTAACTTCTTCGTTTTTCGAGAGGCCACATTCGCGACGGTTGAGGTAGGTTTAATTTATGAGAAACATTTATTTAGTTAATTTCTGATTTTAAAAGTAGCCTGTAAAAAGAACAATTTGAAGGATTATCCTTTGTTTGTTAAATTGTTGGAAGAAAATAAAAAGTTGATGCAATGTGAGCACAAAATAAGAAAATGTCGCGGACACGGCGTTTGATTCTTTAATAGATTAACTTACAATAATATGGTCAGGCGGTGCATCTAGGAACGTGATCTCCGACTCTTCGCCCGCTAGCAGCACACACACTGATCTCTCCCCGGATTCGTCATCTGCAACAGTAGGTGCTGAATGATACAAATAGCTATGATGGCCAGTAATTCTTGAAGTCAAGACATTAATATTTGTAGTAGCGTGGAATTCGTGCTGATGTATATAATGATAGGAGATGCCATTTTACATATTTTTCAACTAATCTTTTGTCGTCAATAAGTCTATACTCAAGGTTATTTATGATGATATTTCTATCATTTAAACCAAGGTTAAGAGGACTCCTGATCCCCTGACATGTAAAACTCACCGATGCTAGTATCGTAAGCGTGAAGATACTCCGAGGTCATGAACTGCCCCACCAGACTGGACTTGCCGACGCCAGGCGCACCTAGCACCAGCACCCGGTATGAACTGAGCCCCGCTGATGAGTCCCTGAATAGCATAAAATATTGATTAGATGTTCAAGGTCAAAGCGTTTTATGCTTATTAATGTAAGCACCATCTGAAGTGCAGCAAATTGGATAATCAATATTTTTATAATAACTATCGTGAGACATACTAAATTAACTAAAAATCGCGGGTTACTCACGTGTATATATTGAGTAGTATATTGAGTAGTAGGCTGCGCGTCGTCGCCGCGTCCGCGCACGCTGCTCATGAGGAAGAACCCCTCTGTGGTTCGAAACTAGTAGAGCTTTTCTCAATATTTACACGTGAGTAACCCGCGATTTTTAGTTAATTTGGATAATAAATAGTTTGTGCAAGCTGTTGTATAGTATACTCCTGTATTTATGTTCCTTCTTTGCTCTATTACGTAAATCACGTAAAGCAGAAACCAGGGCATGAAGGGCCTTAAAAATCAATATGGAGATCTTTTCAAGACAAAGCAGTAGTTTGGGCTTAATGGTATGTAGTCTCCACCATTTTTTGCGTGGAAAATAGCTAGGTCAGTTAAGTAGCATACCTGGAGGAGGCTAGGGAGCAGGGTGCTGATGCCCTGGTGACTGCTTCAGTGCTGGACGCGCTGGACGCTACCGAGGTGTTGGACCGCGAGCGACGTGACCTCAGCGAGTCGCCGCGGTTCACCACACCCTTACCTGAAGAAGAAGTAGATAAGGTAAACGTTAAAGAAAGCGTTTAGGGGTCATGTGAGAAGTTATTTGTTAGACATACGATTTCCCATACACATCACACACAACAATTTGTGGATCACGCAAAGAGCTGTTCTTGGGAATCGAAACCCCAACACGTTGCTCAGCAGCCATTTGCCCACCAACCGTGGAGACGTTCTCTCTAAAGCAGTAATTCAATTTAGCTGACATTTAGAACTCGATATAACACCGATTCCATTGATAATGAAGTGTAAAGTGATACTTTACATATACTTGGAGAATATTCCTCCTCACGTACTCTCAAAGGTTTGCAAATATAATGGTATTCAATCACCTCAGTGATTGCCTCACGCTCAGTGCTTCATGTAATCAGTTTACACATAATTTGTGTCGAGTTCTCGGATATCAGCGTATTTATGTATTGACGTAGGAACATCACATCACACCTCGTCTCCAAGGAATCAATTTCAGTACGTCGAGTGTATTGTCGAGACGAAATCGTGTCACTTAATGTCATGATCTGTCGCTTTTGTTTTTTGTAATCCCGAATGTGTATTCAGATATTTTCTTTTTCTTTTATGACTTCTGTCGCCCAGATTGAGGAGAAATTGAGTGTCGGATTTTTACTGACTAAACCCCTCCGTTCCTTCTCCTGCTCTAAGCCGAGGCCCAGGGTTTTATTGCCCCATTTATACCTGTCCAAAGGGTCTAATTTATTGCTTGAGCAATGCAATATTGCAATACAACACTGAATATTTTCTCGTTTTATTTTTTCGTGGTGGCCCGGAGGTTAAGGCGCCCGCTTCTCATTCATTAGAGTGTGGGCTCGAAATCTGTCAAGTACCAATGTGACTTTTTCCGAGTTATATGTAATTTCTATGATTATTTAGACACCATTGACATACGGTGAAGGTAAACATCGTGAAAACGTGGAAACCTGAACTTATAATTACTAATAATAAGTTTGAAATCGCAAACCCGCATTGAGCAAGCGTGGTGATTAATGCTCTAATCTTCTCCGTATACCTTTGCTCAGCAGTGAGCACTTATAGGGTGATGATGATGTTGATTTTTTATTATGATACTCATAAAGTGCGTTATGCAGAACATTGTTTTGCCCTGTGAGAGACGTTACCGGAGGCCTAACCTTTCCAATCCCTCCAGGATATAATTGAGGACTTAGAAGTGTGCTGCTACTATTTTAAGAGTTAGGGATTGGAGTGGTTGAAGAATTGAAAGGACTAGGTTAGTAACTTCACCCACACAGCTAAAAACTACACCAACGATGTTTCGCACTTGTTGTCTGTGAGGCCGTGGTATCAGTCCGGTCGAGCCGACCCATCCGCGATGAAGCACATCTCTCCCACACTTGGCATTCTCTAGGTTATATCTATCTGTCTTGAACTATAGACCAAAATGATAAAAGGATAGGATTGTTTAGGTAATTTGGATTTATCTCTGTTCCCGAGTACCATTGATGAAAATAACAAAAGTGTAATTTACAAGAAGTGATTAACATTACCTCGGGGCATACGCTCGATTAACTCCAAAATGGTGGCCATGTTAATTGGAAAGAGCAGAAAATGATAGCAGTTACGTTCATAGCGGGGATGGTAACGAGTTCCTTCCTAAGCCATGGGAAACAAACTAATAGCCGGCATTAAAAATATATTGTTATGGTTAGTGTGTTTAGGAGTACAACGAAAATGGCAGCCATTTTAAAATTAATTAAATTGTTATTTGGAATTTTTAATCGACTTTAAAATAGCAACGATAAATGCAATAGCCTGGTTATAGTACAACCAATCTCAGTGGGTTGCGAAGGGCGGTTGGCTATTGCCTAATCTTGTTGGCAAAAATATGTGCCCTCTTTTGACTATACTTACACTTTTATAATGAAGGAATGAATTCTTTTTTGCCAATAAACCTTAAAAAGTACTTTGAAATGTCAAAATTATATATAAAAAACTAGATGTAGCGGACATATTCTACCTGACAGCTTTGTGAAGAAATGTCGAAAGAAGATCAGAGGTCAGTCTCTTTTAAAATCGTTAAAGCAAATCGTGCAAGCTCATTCTATAGTAGTCTCTGAGGACAGAACGCCGCCAGTTTATGTAGACCCATTCTGATGACAGGCACGAAAGCGTTAATGTGCAACCGGTTCAACTAACGAGTATTAAGCGTATACATACTTAAATATAAAAGTATAAAAAAAAGTGTTACTCAGATTTATAAAATGTCCTTAAAAACAAAAACAAATGCCAACAACATTGGTTAAATTAAGTCTAAGATTACAAAATAAAATAAAACAAATCTATGTTTTGTAACATTTGATTAATTCCATTTACACAAATCCCTAGCCTACAACAAACCTATTTAGAATTTAAACTAGATAAATCTTCAAGTACATTCGAGTACAAATCCCAAGTGAATCAGAATCTCTTTGTAACCGCACGAAAACTACTACGAATTTACTATTCGCTTAGTCTAGATTAATCAGGCTTAGACGAGACTTCATGACTGGTGTTAGCTTAGGACTTAGCTCTAAGACCGTTGTGATGTGATACTGATCATTTACTTTGTGCTCCTCCAGGAGCTGTGTATCAATGGGAATAATTATGAACCCTTTCTTATGTTGTATCGAAGTCTTATCGAGCAAATAGCTTCACTAGAGGACAGACGGACAGACTGACAAGCATAAATTTAAACCTATTGAAATATATTTTCTTTAACTTTTTTGCTTGACGTTCCAAAGTGCCCACTGTGGCTTAATTGAAATAAATGATTTTTTATTTTTTTGACTTGACTTTACAGAGATTTGCTCATCAAACGATCTTAGCCTTTACTAGGATCATTTCCTACTTAATCAGCATTATCTTCATCATCATCATAAACTATGGGTCGTTACTTTATGATGTGGTGAATTGCTTATTTTTTGGCTTGACAGTATGTCTATGGAGGTTTACGGGAAAATCATAGCAGGTACGTAAATCTAGCTTGCTTCTTCAACCATCTACCACTGGATTGTGTCAGCATCACCCTAAAGTAGACTGGAAGAGAATGTTCATTACATTAAGTCCACCTTATGTGCAATTTTGGCTGTGTATTAAGTTTTAAATGAATAAATGTACACATACAAAATGTTTATGCTCAGTTCGCCTTAGATTGATTCAACTTGGTTGATTGCTTGAGTAACCTGTTCTCCGTACTGGAGGTAAATAGCGTATGATCTGCGTAATGTAGGGAGACTGGAGGTTTCGTGATTTTGGAGGATTGCATTCGATTGATTTAGTTCAGCTTGTGGTACGTGTTGTGGCTTATATTATGTAGCATGATAGTAGTCTGTTCCTGGTAAGTCTTGTAAAGACGTGTATGGCGCACATAGAAGTTCGACGATGATATACGGATGACGTCGTGCAATTAATCATGCATAGAAAATCCGAACGATATACTGGTTGAAAGTAGCCCGCCAGGAACGACTCCTCGCCTGGTCAAAGAATCATATTTTTTCTCCTTATTTCTTCCTTTCATCTCCTTCCTTTTATCCTCTTTTTCTTAACCGTACTTGTATATATTTCAATGCAGTCATATAGACTATCAATGGCAAGCATGCGAAACAATATTTTGGCCAAGTCAAAGAACACCACTCTGGTATCCTTACTTACACGGCGAAATTCAATGTAAGTGTTGCTTCACGTCGTTATTCTGTGAGGCCGTTCGTGCTGAAGTATGGCTCTCACACACTCATACCCCAATCTAACAGAAATCTGGTGTGAAAAAGTTTGTCTTATCTATTATCATGGGAATGAGGTTAATGGACGACCAAACCGAAAGAAAAAGTGTAGGTATGGAATCTGTATTATACCAGTGATGCTGAAGTGCCTCAGCCGGTAGTACTCCTCTTCGACGCCAGTGTTGGGCATGGAAGCGACGCGCGCCCTCTGCTGGGGAAGGCCCAGCAACTGCCGCTCTCCAGTTCGTGAGCGTCCTGCCTTCACTGACTGCGACCTCGAGTGATGTGGGCTGCCGTACCTGGAGGAAAATGTTTAAATGTATAATTTGTGGAGGTCACTACGAAGATCATGAAAAAAAGCACCAACAGGTTGCAAGTGTAAATGTATATGTGACTAGCTACTCCTGCGCGGTTCCACTCGCTGCTCTATTTGATGTTTTATAGCCTATAGCACTCGGGAACATTGTAGCTATCAATTAGTAAAAGATATTAGATATTAGTAAAAGAATTTTGGAAATCCGACCAGCGGTTTTAAAGGTGACCCCCTACATACAAATTTTACCTCTGTATAATTATTAGTACTTATAGATAAATTGGAATGCTGTTTTCTTTGAAGAGAAAAAAACCATCAAATGACTTGGCCCGCCCTGGGCGGTGCGAGAGTGAGTATCTGACTCTTTCTGACTAAAAACTACGCCGTTCTTTCTCCTGTTCTATTGTTGCGCTTGCACTGCAACCCCTGCTGATAAGTTTGAAAGCTGAGTGTGAAACTTTCCACGCAAACAGTTTGGGAAATTCAATTAGCTTATTAGTATTTATTGAATACTTTTTCTACTTTTTGTTAGATTGGCCTCTGTAATGTTTTTATCTAGACGAAAAAGCCATCATAGTGTTACAGTAACCATCACAAACATATAAAAACCTATTTTTAACTATTTACAAACACATTTAAAACCTTTTTAACTGACGATAATTTTCAATAACACTGGCAAACAACCGCATTCAACACGAAAAAAAAAATGCCAAATATAAACTATTTTTCTCCTCAGCCTATGATAATTATCGTTACTTTTACAAAGGTACCTACAATGTACAATGAATGTGTTGACCGACCCATTTTAACGGATCGCATGTAATTCACTTACTTGATGAATGCTCTCGGTACAATTAATAAGGAAAAGAAAAAATACTTTCTGGGAGAGCGAGGAGTGATTTATTGAGGTTGGAGCGAAAATAATCTAACATAAGGCTTTTAATTCCTTGAAAAGGTAGGCAGAGGAGTACATGAAGATTTTGTTGCTTGCTTGCTTGTTTGTTGGTTGGTTCGAATTTTAAAAATATTTTAGTGTTAGATAGTTTAGGTACTTGAAAGAAAAGAAAGAAAAAGTATTTATTCGCGTCTAGTACGCACATAAGACACAAAATTAAATAAGTATAAATGAACGAAAAAAACATAGTTATACAATACAAAAAAAGAGTATTTATAGAGGAAATATCATTAGAAGTCAATCAGTAGCTGAATCCACGAGGTCATTTTTTCTTCTTTGTTTTATGTTACACGCAAGTTTCGCCAATTAAGTTACTAATTTCATGTCACTTCGAAAAATTACTTTTCATTACTCAGAAATACGTATGTTATGATATTTTTTTGTTAAATCATTTTTGCCGTGAATGACATTCCTGCCACGTTTGTTACACACTTATAACAAATCTATAAGAGATTAATTTTTGGCCATTGTATTCATCTAAAAGAGAAGTACAATGGCCTCAGGTTGTCCAAAAATTTCACCAGAATATATCGTTAAAGGAAATTTGACAGATTGGTTTGCATACAGTTTAAATGTTTCACAAAAATATCGGATCACAACGTATACTTCACATCGACCATTTTTTTTTACTTGCAATAAACTAGTGCTTGACTGCGATCCCACCTGATGGTAAGCAGTGATGCAATCGTTGATGGTAAGGCGCACTAGTTTATTAAGAGTCTATTCACTCTAGCCTAAATAGCCTATATACTTCCTATATAATACATAACTAGCTTCCGCATACAAAAGTAATGTATACCGGGATTTTAAGAATAGCAGCGATTAATTATAATTTATAGCCTATAGCACTCAGGACCATTGTGGTTGTATATGAGCGAAAGAATTTTGGCAATCCGACCAGCGGTTTCAAAGATTACCCCCTACATACAAACTTACAAATTTTACCTCTTTATAATATTAGTATAGAAGTATAGATAATAATTAGTGCCATATATGTCTTCACGGCGACCTAGCGACGCTTAGGAGTTGTAGAGCTTTTCTCAGATAATTCGTCTTTATTTTCAATGAATTTAGAGTAATGTTATACAGGTTTTGAAAAAAGAACCTATCAGAGTAGGTACTCGAATTGATATATTTTTTTAATTTTGATACCATAAGCGGATTATGGAACATACACCACTCAGCCACTTACGTGTACACGTTAAATCCTGTTTTGTTTTCGAAAAAGGATTAATACTGTGCGTTAATTGGATACCATTCTGAACATCGCTCTTATTGAAAGTCAATTAATATTTTTGGAATTTTATCAAAACATAGCTTTATGTAGGTATATTTTTGATACATAACGGGAATGTGTTAAAGCTGGCGTTTTTATTCTTACTAGCGCCCATCCCATACAAAAGTTTTCCACAATTTAATTGTTGTTATTTATTATACACTATACAAGAGGTCGGCCGCGGCTCCACCTGTGTGGGTGGCGAACGAATAATTCCACGAATAATTTAAGACCAAAACTAGACAAATCGGTAAAGGTAATGTTTAGTTAGAACATTATAACGAAAGGTGGCATTGTTTTTATATACTTGTAGGTAGGTAGTAGGTTTTTATAAAGGTAGGTAGATAAACCTTGTCTAAAATAAACTTAGATTTAAACATATATACAGGGGTAAAGCGAGTGAGGAAGTTTCTTTATTTTTACCCGATTACGGCAAAGCAAAAGGAGGGTTATGATTGAAAGGCGTAGTCACACGCTTTCAAAGTGCAGGGTATGGTAAGTAAATATAACGCGTGACTACGCCTTTCAGTATTATGAAAATCTTGTTTTATACTTTTTCAGCGTCGGTTGTTGTCGTAGTTGGGTTTTAGTTTTTATACTTTTTATTATATACTTTGTACCTACTAATGATTATTATCATTTCAAGAGTCATGCTTCGACGTGAATGGACTGATACTACAATCTCACAGAGTACTGGTGTGAAAAAACGGTTACATTGTGTTTGCCGCTGTGTTACCAAAGGCCTAATCCTTCCCTCCTTCCATGCTCGATTCTTAAAACCCTCCATCTAAAACAAAAGACAGGCAGCACATTTCTAACTCTTCGATGTCGCGTGTGTTCATGGACAGTGCTGTTTGCTTACCGTTGGTGATCCGTATGCTCGTTTGTCGAATTATTAAAAAATCTATGAATCCCCGAAAATTCAACAACACGAAAACAAACGAATACCTTTGGCTTTATAAAAATAATTATTATATTACACTGGCCGTATCAGCTACAGTCTTCTTTAAAATTAAAACTCTGCAATTATGAAAATAATTCCAAGACCGATCTTTGGAAGATTTTACATTTAAAATTTAGAATTTCAAGATAATTTGGGGACACGGATGCGAACCACAAATTGGCGAACAGCTTTAAGAAGTAATTACAATTTTCTGTCAAGACGCTGTTCTCCGATAAGTTACTTAATCACCAGTGGTGCCTGGTAATTACAGTCGCTACTGGTAGATTGTGTTGCTGAGACGTGTAAGGTTTAATTGTCAGTCAGAGTGGGGAAATATTTGTTATAACATTCATTTTGATAATTTGGTAGTTTCCTAGTATTAAAAAATAATTAAGTATAGGTACTTTTATTCATCGATCTATCGATATACAAAATATTCGATATTTTTAAGTATTACGTAAGCTGTTCGAAGCTACAATACTATCATGTCATAATTTGTTTCATAAAACAATCATAGAAAAGAATCGAAACCGTGCCACGTTGCTCGGTGAACAGGTTCCCGGCCACCGCGCAAACCGTGCAGTCAAACCTTGGTTTCAATTTAATTTACATTACAATAAATCGACACACTCTTATATAGAAAACAATACACGAATTTCAGGCAAAATGTCCTTTAACTTTTAAGGGTTATACAATTAATTTAAACATAACAATATATACACCATGACTTGGTTCTGTATAACTTAGCATCAAGTGTAGCGCGGGAACTATCGGCTGCACAGTTGCGGAATGTTGTAACAAAGTTTTAGGTTCGAATACAAACAGTTTCAGCACGCTACAGGCTAGAAGTTATTAGTTAGAAGAGGTGATATGTAGCTATATTGATGACGTCACTTTCAACATGCTTAGAATCAATTGTTTAATTTTTGTTATGTTATAGGTTGGCAGACGAGCAGTCGGATTACCTGATGGTAAACAATCAGCGCCGCTCATGGACACTCGCAACTACGTAGGAGTTATGAGTGCGTCGCTGACCTTATTAGGATAAGGGATATGGAGATTTTAGCATTGGGGGAGGGGAAGAATTGGGCCTCCGGTAACCTCACTCATACGGCGAAACACAACGCTGTGGTTCTTTCACGCCGGTTTTCTGTGAAGCCGTGGTGTCACTCTGGTCGAGACAAAGTATGGATCTCACACACTTAACGTGTAATAAGACAATCAAGTTAAAATTCTATTTGTAATGAGCTTTTTATTTAGCATTTGCGTACAGTTTGCAATCCTTATATACCTAATTGAAACCATCAAAAACGAAATTTCCTCAAACAATACTGCAGCCAGTTCGTACAGCTGACACATTCAAAACTTCCTGATACAAAAAATTCAGTATATTTTTTGTTAATACCGTTCGTGTTACACGGATAACCGGCTGGGTACCACAACGCCGCGCCTGACGCCATGATTGATGACCGTGTTCTATTTACCATAAAATGTACAGTATATTATCACTACACAGTATAAAACAGTCGCTTTCTCTGTCCCCATATCTCTATGCATGCTTAAATCTTGAAAACTACTCAACAGGTTTTTATACGGGTTTTTAATAGATAGGGTGATAGAAGTGGAAGAAGAAATTTAGTATCAGCCGGGGCGAGTTGCTAGTGTGTACATTTAAGTACTGAAGCGTGTAAATTTGTTAAGTAACATATTTCTAAGCTGTTTTTTGACCTTTATAAGTCTTCTTAAAAGGCCGGCAACGCACTTGTGACTAATTTTGTGCTGCGGGTGTAAATGGCATGGATTGCACACCAT